TGATCTTTATGATTATCTGACGTTCTTTTAAATTACCTCAGATTTGGTTTCGGTTTTGAATGTTATGCCATTTTCTGACCGCTAAGTGGCGGTGTTGTATAAATAATATCAATTGAGTATGTGTTTATTCCTTTTTCTTATTCTAACTTTAACTTGAGAATGCTTTTATTTGAGAAATATGTATCTGTTTAATGGAAACTATGTTTGTGTAATAATACTCAAGACATATTGTTAATATATAATCTTTATTTTTCCTTTGTAGACCACACACGTACACACACGTACGCACAAATACCAGTGATAAGTAAAGCCTGTGTATTGCTGTGTTGTGTACAGCCAAAGACTGTTAACAAATAAACCTCATTTGCATGGAACTGATCTGAATCCAGTGTGTTCTGACCGACACCCCATTGAGGAAAGTTAGATCTGAACCATCACCTTATACAGTCCACTTTTTCCAATCCTCCTATCGAACAAATGGTCCTTCGAGCCGGATCTGGCATTTCTCATGGACAAAGATCAGTATCAGTATCAATTGATCAGTCCACATGCATCCTGAAGAAGCACATGCACAGATTGTAAGACCAAACGTCTAGTTCATCCTCCTGCTTACCTCAAAGATTATGATCTTACAACTGTACATCGTAGAGCAGGCAGTCAGCTGGTATCGCCTCACACAACACAGCATACACAGTGGCTTGGAGATGCAGCAGTGAACATCTCTTCACCTTCTACCAGAGACGAGTCCCATAAGTCAAGATCCATGGGACACAGTCGATGAATGGTCGCCTATAGCTGAGGAAAGGGATCCTTTTATCCAAAGAATGGATAACATAGGGCTGCAACAGCCTAGCGCCACCTACGCTCCAGTGCAGTCAATTAATAGTCCTCAGACTTCTCCATATCATCGGCCATGGGAAGAACATCAGTCCACGCCGTTACCAAAGTACATCTTTCCCTGCACAGGATAGACTCCTCCACATCCTGGAACGGCATCCTACCATCCACACTCCATGGTGACTACATCTTTGCTCCCACCTACCTATGGTAAGCGTTGCCAGACGGCCTACACCACAGCAACATCTCAGGGGTTACAACACCCGTGTCCTGCTACAAAAGGTGGCCCTCTACTCAGTTTGAACCAGAAGACTAGCTATCCCAACCTTCCCAAACCAGGAAAGAACAGAACTGTAGAGCCTCAAGTGAACCTAGCATGCTAGACCTTCTGGGAACAATGATGGGTGAACTTCAGATTATGAAAGATCAGATCCTGGCTGCCGCACCCACTAGACCACAGATTGATTCAGTCCTGTGTGGTGAACGTGCTAACCATAATTCCTCTCCCTGGCAGCATTCACATAGATCCAATTATTCTCATTATCAGAGAAATGGCTCAGTCAATGCCTGGTCTTTATGAGGATACTCCTGTCCCTCACTGGCATTCAAGAACATTATAACGAGTCCCCTAGAGAGACCTTGGATTATCCCAAACCACAGGTGCATTATCAGTTCCCACAAGCCTCTGGGCCAGAGTCAGCACATAGAGCTCCTTATTCCTCTAATGTGAATCCTGCAAGGCAAGAAACCACTTATCGAGGTCCAGTGCCAACCATACCCAACTTCTACAATAAAGACCCCAGCGAGTTTAATCGGTTAAAGATAGCCCTTGAGAACCTTCTACCATCGGATGCCACGGAACTGTTCCGGTACCAAATCCTGTTGGACCATCTGAAGCTAGAGGAAGCTCGTTTGGTGGCAGATTCCTACCTCAATTCACCATTTCCCTACTCAGACACCATGGCTGCTCTGAATGAAAGGTTTGGTCAGCCACATAAGTTGGCACTCAAGAAGATCGCCAAAGTGATGGATTCACCAGATATCCGACGAGGAGATAATGAGGCCTTCGATAATTTTGCTCTGCACATTAGGGCTCTTGTTGGTATGTTGGAGACTCTTGGAGATGAAGGTGAAGCTGAACTTCGATGCGGGTCGCATGTAGAGAGACTGTTGAGTAAGTTACCGGCTGAAATGAGATCAGGATTCCGAAGACAGATGTACCATCGTCCTGGCTCTGTGTATAACCTTCGTGAATTTTCTGAGTGGCTTCAGTATGAGGCCTGGTGCCAAAGCAGTGAAACACAGATCAGTTACAAGAGCCAGAGACCAGAACGCCGGCGAGAAACCAAACCCACTGTACGTTCAGCCACCATTCTTCATGGAGCAGATGATACTGCCACAAAGGTCCTCTCAGCACCAGTCCAGGTTAAGCAAGTAAAAGTGGAGAAACCTAAAGTTCCACCGAGAGCCTTTTGTCCATACTGCGATAACGAGGATCATTATCTCAGTCAATGTCCCACCTTTAAGTCCTTCGATAAGCAGAGAATGATTGAATGGATCCAGACCAATCATCGTTGTTGGCGCTGTGGTCGTGCACACCAAGCAGCCCAGTGCACACTCAAGAAGCCTTGTAGCATCTGCAAAGGGAAGCACCTACAAATCTTGCATGAGGTCAACACAAAGAGTCCCAGAGAAGGTTCCTGCCTTGTTAGTTCAACCACTGAGACACTGTACTTGGACAGACCCACTGACTGCAGGCGTGTTCTCCTAAAGGTCATCAGGGTCTTGCTGCGCTATGGAGACAAGACACTCGACACCTATGCTGTCATGGATGACGGGTCCGAGCGCACTATTCTTCTTCCTGGTGCCGCCCATGAGCTCGGTATACAAGGTCAAGCCGAAAACAGCCTTGCGGACCATCCGCCAAGATGTGCAGACCATCAGTGGTACCACGGTTACCTTCCACATATCTCCTGCCACTCAACCACAGAAGATCTTTAAGATCAATGCAGCATTCACTGCGAAACGTCTTGGTCTGGCCGATTACTCTTATCCTGTCAGTTTGTTGGAGAAGTACAAGCATCTTAAAGGTCTCCCCTCTGCAAGCCTTTGAAAAAGTGAGTCCTTTACTTCTCATCGGAGCCGATAACACCCACCTGATCACACCGATTGCACCTGTCCGAATTGGTCCACCTGGTGGTCCGGCTGCTATAAAGACAAGGCTAGGATGGACACTGCAGGGACCAGCCAAGATCTTGGAGACCAAATTGCAGCCACAGCAATGCCTTTTCCTGTCTCTCACCCCTGCGGAACTAGAACTCAAAAGAGATGTTGAAAGGCTATGGCAACTTGACGTTTTGCCTTTTCGCTGTGAGAAGCAGGTGACAAGGTCTAGGGAGGATCAGCAGGCCATTGACCTCTTGGAGACTAAGACAAGTCGCGTGGAGGTGAATGGAATCTTACGTTACGCAACACCCCTGTTGCGCAGAAAGGATTCACCCTCATTTCGTGCTCCTAAGGAGGCTGTGCTTCCAAGTCTCCGGAGTCTGGAACGACGACTCACCCAAAATCCAGAGAAAGCAGCCGTGTACAATGCTGAGATTGAGAAACTAGAACTGAATGGCGCAGTGACCAAACTCTCAGCTGGTACAAGTACTATGGCGGAGGAGACATGGTATATCCCGCATCACTTAGTCAGTCACAACAGCAAGGACCGCATTGTGTTTAATTGCTCATACCAATATAAGGGACTGAACCTTAATGATTCCTTGATGCCTGGTCCAACTTTGAGCCCTTCTCTGCTAGGTGTTCTTCTTCGCTTCAGGGAGCATTGTGTGGCTATCAGCGGGGATATTCGTGGAATGTTCCACCAAGTTCTACTCCTACCTGAGGACAAGCCCCTTCTGCGCTTTCTCTGGCGGGGCATGAGACGAGATGATCCCCCTGACATCTATGAATGGCAGGTGCTGCCGTTCGGAACCACGTGCAGTCCCTGCTGTGCATCCTTCGCCCTCCAAAGACATGTCTCATCGCACAGCACAGCGGATGAAGATGTGAGACATTCCGTGGAACGCTGTTTTTTATGTGGATAACTGTCTGCAGAGCTTCCCCATCGGCTCAAGAGGCACGGCAGTTACTAGACAAGCTTCGTAAGCTGCTAGCGTCCGGAGGGTTTGATATCCGTCAATGGGCCAGCAACGTGCAAGAAGTCGTCAGTCACTTGCCACCAGAGGCCAGATCTCCTAAGTTAGAGCTGTGGCTATCACACAATAAAGAAGACCCACGTGAATCCACTTTGGGACTGAATTGGCACTGCGAGTCGGACCACCTAGGATTCAAACATAGACCCGTTACTTACAGTTCTCTGACGATGCGGAACATATATCGTGTGTTAGCAAGCCAGTATGACCCCCTTGGTGTCATTCTTCCTTTCACCACGCGAGCCAAGGTGATTGTTCAACAGCTCTGGATCAAGAACAGGAGCTGGGATGATCCACAACTTCCTGATGATCTTCAGCAGGCATGGAAGGTGTGGGAAGCTGAGCTTCAGTACTTACCTCTTGTAGCACTCCCTAGGTGCTACATTCCATGCAGTATGGACAACTCAGAGGTCACTCGGGAAATCCATATCTTCACAGATGCTTCTGAGAAGGCCTATGGGGCTGTTGCTTACCTTCGTTCAGAAGATCCTTGTGGGAGGATACACCTTTCCTTCCTCCTAGCCCGATCACGTGTTGCCCCACGTAAGCAGTGCTCAATTCCTAGACTGGAGCTGTGTGCTGCTCTAATAGGAGCGCAGTTGGCCAAGCTGGCTGAAAATGAGCTCACCTTGAAGATCCAGAAGGTCACTTTCTGGACAGATTCAACAACTGTCCTCCACTGGTTACATTCCGAATCCTGCCGTTTCAAGGTGTTTGTGGGCACTAGGGTGGCAGAGATTCAAGAATTGACAGACCTTAAAGCATGGCATTACGTTGACTCTGCCAGGAACCCTGCGGATGATCTTACCCGTGGTAAGAGCATAAAGGACCTTGCTGAACCCAGTCGGTGGACCCAAGGACCAAAATTCCTCCTCCAACAGCAGAATACTTGGCCAACACCACCAGATATGCACAGCTTTTTGCTTGATGACACTACGGAATTAAAGCGAAGTGCCTTCTGTGGCGTGATCAACTCAGCACCACCGACAGCAGATGGTAGCAAGTTTAGTAGCTGGAAAGACTTGGTCGAAGCTGTAGCACAGGAGTTGCATGGGGCGGCAGGAAAGAGTGGCTCCCCTTCAGCTAGCGATTATCAAAAGGCAGAACTGACCACGCTGAGACAGGTCCAAATGGACAGTTTTGCTGAAGACTACCAGCTGTTGAAGAGCGGGAAACCTGTTCATTCTAGCAGCCGTCTACTTTGTCTATCCCCAGAGTACGACGAAACCAATGATCTGATACGAGTTGGAGGACGACTACGACGGGTGGAAGGACTAGACCCAAACACAGTACACCCTATAGTATTGGATCCCAGTCACCCTAACACTCAGTTATTCATAAAGGATTATGATGCTCGCCTTTGCCATCCTGGGCCAGAACGAGTGTTTGCAGAGCTTCGACGAAAGGTGTGGATACTGAAAGGGCGAGAGGCAGTGAGAAAGCACCAGCGAACATGTCTCGAATGCTGCAAATGGAGGTCGAAGCCAGCCTCGCAGAAAATGGTTGATCTCCCTCCACCACGACTTCGGTTGTTCAAGCCTGCTTTTCATTCAACAGGAATCGACTGCTTTGGGCCTCTTCTGGTCAAAATAGGTCGTCGGACGGAGAAGCGGTGGGGACTTTTATTTAAGTGCTTGACCACCCGGGCAGTGCACCTTGAGGTACTGACATCTATAGATAGTGATGCCTTTCTCATGGCTCTACGTCGGTTTATAGGTCGCCGTGGGAAACCTGCAGAGCTATATTCAGACCAAGGCACCAACTTTCGAGGCGGTGAGAGAGAACTTAAAGAAGCCTTCAGTCAGCTCAGTGGTGATCTACAGCAGCAGCTAGCGAAGCAACAAATCAGCTTTCATTTCAATCCTCCAGCTGCCCCACACTTTGGAGGGGTGTGGGAACGCGAGATTCGTTCCGTAAAGGCCGCACTTTACACTACCCTGGGCTCAGAATCAGGAACTGAAGAAGTGCTTCGAACTGTCCTCATAGAGATTGAGGCCATCCTCAACTCGAAACCTCTTGGTTACGTTTCAGCGGACATTGCTGATGCAGATCCGATCACCCCAAATTGCTTTCTGATGGGGCGGCCAGATGGGTCCCTACCCCAAGTCATCTATCCAGTGTCTGAGCTCCTAGGAAGACGGAGATGGAGGCATTCACAAGTATTGTCTGACAGATTCTGGACGGCCTTCATAAAGCATTACTTACCTGACATGCAGGCCAGAGGAAAGTGGCAGAATCCATCAGTAAACATCAAACCAGGGACAGTCGTCATGCTTGTTGACCCTCAGTTACCCCGTTCATTCTGGCAGATTGGAAGAGTATCTAATGTCTTTCCTGGGGTTGATAGTCGAGTTCGAACTGTCGAGGTGCAGATTAAGGACAAAGTCTATACAAGACCCATCTCTCGACTGATTGTTCTTCCAGAGATCCGAGATGAAGGGGATGAAAGCCACACTAGTGACTAACGGTAATCCATATAGTGTCGGCCTTTTAATGGAGCAAATTTGTAACCAAATTTGGGGGCGGCTGTGTTAGAAAGGCCGAGTCATGTGCGCATGCGCAACTTACTTTCAGTCATCATCAGTTCAGAGCGGGACTGTACGAGCGGGACTGTACAAGCAAGACTGTGTGTGCAAAGTGCGTCAATGAATAAATGTAAGTTGACTGTTTACCTAGTTTGGTTATCAATACTTGCTAGGGAGCTGTAAAGCCTTGATGTCTTACTTTCATAAAGTGATGCATGTTTAAGAGAGATGAATCCGTTAATCGCGTGAGGTTAAGGGCTCGTCAATGTGCCGTTTATGTTTGATATTACTTGTAATTTATAGTATTGAGATGGCACCCAGTGTTTGATTGTGCATATGTATGTGTGATCGTTTACATTAGTGTATGAAACTCTTTATATTTCGAGTTTAAGGACGTGATCTTTATGATTATCTGACGTTCGTTTAAATTACCTCAGATTTGGTTTCGGTTTTGAATGTTATGCCATTTCTGACCGCTAAGTGGCGGTGTTGTATAATAATATCATTGAGTATGTGTTTATTCCTTTTTCTTATTCTAACTTTAACTTGAGAATTGCTTTATTTGAGAAATATGTATCTGTTTATGGAAACTATGTTTGTGTAATAATACTCAAGACATATTGTTAATATATATATCTTTATTTTTCCTTTGTAGACCACACACGTACACACACGTACGCACAAATACCAGTGATAAGTAAAGCCTGTGTATTGCTGTGTTGTGTACAGCCCAAAGACTGTTAACAAATAAACCTCATTTGCATGGAACTGATCTGAATCCAGTGTGTTCTGACCGACACCCCATTGAGGAAAGTTAGATCTGAACCATCACCTTATACAGTCCACTTTTTCCAATCCTCCTATCGAACACCATATATACTAAATATTCTGAGATTATATTAAGTAATGATGAACTGCTGGAAATCCATATCTGAGGTGGTTTGAGCAATCCTTGATTCTGATTGGTCAAGAGCTGTGCTTTATTCACGATAAACACGGCTATTCTACTGATCGCTGCGCAACAATGCGGTTCTATGCTGTTTTTATTTGAGCTTTCATGCATATCACACATTGGAACGTTGTTGCTTTTCACGGTCAGGGACTATTTTTTCTAGCGGAAGGAAGGCTTTTAGTGTTTTTACTTCAAGTAAGTTGCACTAATACATTGTTTTTTACTTTAATATTGTGTGGCAACCGTTTTATAAAAGCAAGATACTCGAGGCAAGTGCTGTATCGTGAATAAGTAACGGCTGAAGGGATTGCAGCCAACGCCCTTCAGCCGTTACTTATTCACGATACAGCGCAGCCTCTAATACCTTATGGCTTATAAATCTTTACTATCACTTAATAAAAGTATTAATTTCTTTACAAAAAAGAAAGAAAGAAATACGGACCCCAAACTTTTAAATGGTATTAAATTGTTACAAAAGATTTCTATCAGTGCTGTTCTTGTTAATTATAAAGAGAAGTATTTGCACTAGTCAGTAAACTAATATTTAATAGGTGTAAATATACAATTGTGTATTTTGAGTCCTGTTTACTTTTAATATCCGTCACAATCGCTTGCAGATTTCACATCTACAGGCAAGTGTTCGAGCTATTTTAATGTAATGGTTGTTTTGATGACAACTTTCATTTAAATGATTAAAAAGATTGTACCGTATGGTGCTGAAATATGGTTAAAGACATGTAGATAATGCCAGAGAGATGGTTCCATTAAGAGAAACCAATTAAATTTCCTCTTAATTTGTCCATTCACTCCTATAATTACAGCATGTTAACTAAATCTGCATAATTAGACTTTCACTGATCTGTGCTGCCTGATTGACATTTAAATATGTCATCGGAACAAATTAGCAATTAGAGACGCATACCGCAAAAAAAAAAAAAAAAAGATAATCAGCCCACATGACTTCATTAAGACACTAGTGAGGAGAACCTATGAATGCTTTGGTCACATATAGGTAAAAAAGCGGATTTTTTCTAGTCAGAACGTCTCTACAGATTTTTTGCTATTAATAAACTGTTAAAAAACATCGAAAATTGTCTAAGTGAGCGGATATTGGCTGGAATAAGCTGCAATATGAACTCAACCATATGCTAATAGTCGGTCTAGCTAGATAGCCTACATGAGCATATTGGAAGTTTATTCCCATCAGATTTTCAAACATTTTCGTCTTTTTGTTGATGAACCGGAAAAAAAGGGATCAACAGTGTCCCACTGTTCTGCTACTTATATTTAACTATTAATTCTTAAACACTAACATTCTTTTTAGATTTTTTTTAAATGGTTTGACAGGTTGATGTCTTAAATTATTAGTTTTTAGTTATTATTATTAAACAATTTAAGTGCTGGAGCTCTAAAGAACATTTTTTTCTATAAAGAACAAGGTTTTGAACTTTTTGATGCCAAGGTCCCCCAAATATTTGGATTCCATTGCAAGGAATATAAAAGGCAGCCATTCCTTTTCAGTAAAGGACCTATTGTGCAAGAAAAATACTGTGATCTGGTTTTTTTGCCTCAAAAATTAAATAATGGGCTTCTAGTATATTGTTAGTTTTCTAATAGAAAAGCAAATTATTAAATATGTTCTTGTATGACAGATTTTACGGCATCTATTCCCAACCCATTTTCAATTAAATTAAAGTGATTTTTTTCACGTTTTTTTTCCTCTCCAATAAATATGATTTACAGAGTATTCAAGGTCCCAGAAAACAAAGCAAAGTGTGATTGTGACGAGGAGAAACTAGTACTGACTGTTAACACAAACCATTCTTGAACATATTGTGAGTGTGACCACCCTACATATAGTTTGGATCACAAAAAATTTTCAATTATTTGTATATATAGGCCTATACTTTTTCCCCTATATATATTTCTATGTACATGTAGTATACATACATTTGAATGAGTTTGCACTGAACAGTTCAGCTGTATTTTCTGAAATCTGGGTGGCAGTTGAGAAAGTTACCGTGGCGACTGCAGTATATCCTCAGACAACAAAGAGGACTGTTTGAGCAACCACTTAATCTGGTCTCTCTCTCTCATTTACTGCTAACTTAAGGTTAGTTAAAATCATTAAATTGCATATCAAATTGAAATTCTGATAACATTTTGATAACATTTTAATCTGTCATATGGTCATGTTACAATGTGCCCTAACAATGGGGCATGTTGTCACATTTCACTATTCTTTAGGAGTAAATCAAGAATATATTATACACTGTAATAATGAAACAAAATGTAAGTAGGTTTACACAAACTGAGAAAGTCAAAAAGTGAACTAGAGAACCAATAGAGAACCAAAAATCAAGACTGTTGTCAGTCTCCAAAGAACCATATTAGCAACTCAAGAACCTTATAGACCTTATGCACCAGAGAAACGTGGGCGCCGTCATCTTTAGTATATTGTCTTTGAACTTCCGTTTTTCCGGTCGCTCTGTATATTTCTATGGTATTGCTGTTGAGGAGTAATTAGCTGATGAAATGGATTTAATTATTGTAGAGTTAACAAAAGTTATCATGAGCATTAAAAATGCTTATCATAAGCATTGTCGACTGGGATTTTTTTTTTACGAGCAGTTCATTCATACCTATGCAAGATCGCTGTGAAAATACAGACCAGAAGTCAAAAGACAACAAGCGCAATGCTGAAAAGGGGCGGGGCTACATAAGGTCTATACACTAAAGGGGAATGGTTCTTCATAAGAAAATTGTAAATAAAAACCCTTGTCCACTCATTTGCATCTGGGTCCTATCTCTTGCAGAATTGTGACAAAACGATCCAGCCAACATAGGAGCAATGAGCATCCATATAGTTCCCCCCGTAACTGCTCAAGAGAGACGTACACTCCAGCAGGGATTGTTATCGCTTCACCAGCAGGGCCGGGATGTGTGGCCTTTTGCTCAGTTCGTCTGGCCCTTGAGTACGATGAAGCGTCCCTCAAGGTTTCTTTTAACCTCTGCCTGGATGACCCCTTGCCACAGTGGGAGATGAAGCAATGGGGAATTTGGGATTTTTGGAACTTCACTCACTACCTGCATCACTGCAAGGACTGACAGATACTGACACCACTAAAGTCAGCATGCAGTCACCATAGTGCCATCCCTCTTTCGTCGAGTCAAATTTAAGATCTTTCTCTGACTCCAACGTTAAAGCGTAGACTGAGAAGGATGAGGGCAGCCCAGACCACTGTCTCTGAGTCCAGGGAGTCATAGTAAATGCAATCCAAGTCCTTTCCAGTTGTCTCAGAGACTGCCACGTCCATCCTAGTCACTCCTGAGTCTGTCAAGTCTAGTCACCCCAAAGCAATCCATGACAGTTCCAGTCAAGTCTGTTTTAAGCCCGGAACACACCAAGCCGACGGTCGGCCGTCTGGCAGATTTTGTGCATCGGCCAAATAAGTTTCCTCGGTGTGATACGCACACAGTTCCGTGCTGTTGGCTGAAAATAGTCCTCGTCGGCTTTGTTTCGCCCGATTCGACATGTTGAATCGGCGTCGGGCCGTCGGGGAAAGAGAGAACTCTGATTGGCTGTTCAGCTTAGTGAAAGAGTCATAGCACAAGAATAAAAGCAAAACAGGAAGCAAAGAAGTCAAAACGGTAAAGATAGAAGGCGGTTCTTATGTTACGTCTTTTTACCTGAGTGTTCCTTGGTGAATATTTCAATATTAACACGTGGAATAAAGAAAGCGTTTAGCAGGATTGATATTCAAAACGGTAAGCACGCGCTGCTTTGTTTATGTTATGTGTATCTGCAGCCGGCAGCGTCGGTTTTTTGAAGGACGAATATCCACAAGTTTCCGAGGGGCGCTCCTGTAAAAAATAAAGTGGGTGAAACTTCCGGTGACGCAGCGGAAGTAGCATTCCAATGGTATTTTGTGTGTTAGTTAGCGAAGAGGCTAGCTGTTTTTCGGAGAATTATTTTACTATTTAAAGACGCAAATCTTTATGAGAGATGTCGTTACGGAGCTCAGGGACAACATGTGCTGTTCGCGGTTGTATGTATAACCGGAGTAAACTAGTTCAGTGGCTTAAACGTGATTGTTTTGAACATAAGCTGAAAACGAAATCAGAGTGATCCTGCCAACGACTGTAGTTTCCATCACCTCCCAAAAGACGACGAATCTTCCTGTGTACATTTGTTTAAATTCTTAATATTCTATAAACTCTCTCAGCATGTGTTTGGCTGTTCGCTACTGATGTTACACCTAAACTCAGGATCAAAGCCTGTGTTGACAGAATACCAAATGTGCCAGTTAATGTATTCAAGTAGCACATTCATTTATAATTTTGAATAAACTCCAAAGCACAGTGACTAAGTGTGTATTTTTTATTTTAATTGTTTGTCAGCTCACACAACTGTCTGTCACCATGCCTTGATGAGTATTGATTATTAATAATGTTATTATAATACACTGCGGAGGGTAAAGGTACTTTTATTTCACCCTTTTTAATTTCGTTGAGGTTGTGTTCCCACATCGTTAGCTAGTTTGGATCGCTATAACTTGAATGACTGTCAACTGTTGAATGAACGAGTATCAAGCATGTCAAGTCCCGCTTTGTTTACTTCCAACCGGAAGTCGCGCCCACTTTTGACGCAAGGCCTCATGGGGCGTAGGAAACTTGTGGATAGACTAATATATCTGCAGTAATAGACAGTTGGCTCATTACACGCAGTAGCAGAATGCACATTCTAGCTGACAGTCGCCTGTAATTCTCTCTGTGTGTTCACGTGCAGCTTTTTACCTCGACGAGAGGGGATGAGAGACGACAAAACAGTTGGCTTTCATCAGTGCTAGTTCGTTGGCGTCAGCTTGGTGTGTTCCGGTCTTTAGTCAGCCGGGTTTCAGATGAGACCTTTCCTGAGTCAATCAAGACCACTGCAGTCATCCCAGAGTCTGTCAAGTCTGCTCCAGTACATCCAGAGTCTGTTTGCAATGACCAACCTGTTTTCCCACATTCAAGTCAAGTTCCAGGTCCTCTTCTGTCTCCAAAGAAACAAAGGAAGAGAGCGAACAAGACGACTGCCTGTCGAGCTGCTCCTGAGCCCGCTCCTGGAGTCCTGAGTCAGTCGAGCCTGCTCCTGCCAGTCAAGCCTGCTCCTGCCAGTCGAGACCCAGTCAAGCCTACTCCTGCCAGTCGAGACCCAGTCGACCCCACTCCTGCCAGTCCTGATTCATTTGAGCCCGCTTCTGCCAGTCGAGCCCACTCCTGCCAGTCCTGATTCATTTGAGCCCGCTTCTGCCAGTCGAGCCCACTCCTGCCAGTCGAGAGCCAGTTGAGCCCGCTCCTGCCAGTCTAGAGCCAGTTGAGCCCGCTCCTGCCAGTCAAGCCTACTCCTGCCAGTCGAGACCCAGTCAAGCCTACTCCTGCCAGTCGAGACCCAGTCGAGCCCACTCCTGCCAGTCCTGATTCATTTGAGCCCACTTCTGCCAGTCGAGCCCACTCCTGCCAGTCGAGAGCCAGTTGAGCCCGCTCCTGCCAGTCTAGAGCCAGTTGAGCCCGCTCCTGCCAGTCCTGAGTCAGTCAAGCCCGTTCCTGCCAGTCCAGTCCAGAGTGCTTTGCAATTTTTGCCTCACTTTCACCCATTCATAAACTCATTTATACACCGACGGCGGTGTCAGCCATACAAGGCGCCATGCAGGTGTCTTGCTCATGGACACCTCGACACTTGGTCAGGTAGAACCAGGAATTGAACCACCAACCTTTTGGTTTGTAGACAACCTACATGAACCACTGAGCTACTGCTGTGAGCCATATCCGAAACAAGTCCAGTGTCTGTTCCTGAAACCCTGGAGGAACATCCCAGGGTCAAGTCAAATCTGTATCCCTGCAGCCACGGAGTATGGTTCCGAGTTAGTGCCTAAGGCTGTCCCATCTTGTCTCCCCCAAACACATTCCCTCGACCCTTCCTGCCAGTATGGTCATAGTCCCCAAGTTCATTCCTAAGCCCTTCCACAATCAAAGATTCCTCCTGAAGACCGTTCCTGACACCAAGGCTATTTTCAAGCCCTGACCATTTGAGCAAGCTCATCTTCCCAGAAAGACTGTCCGTACCCCTCCCATCCCGTCCTCTGTATTGGCTGGTCATTGTGTGCTTTCATTGTGTGTTAACTGCCTTAACTGACTATACCTTTATTGGACTCACGTCATCACCATCTTACTGACAGTCTCAGTGGTAATCTTTCCTGCCTGTCGTTGTGTCGTCTGCCCTGCCCTACTGTTTGAACTGTGGCTCACGCTTCACTGTCCCTGCTGTCTCAAGTTTTCAGTCTTGTTAATAAAAAACCCTTGTATGCTCATTTGCATCTAGGTCCTATCTTTTGCAGAATTGTGACAAGAATACAAAAATAGGATGTAGGAGAAAAAAGTTTAACACTTACTTTATCAATAAAAAAAGGTCTTGACAATTTTGCTTATGGTTTAACTGAATCATCGAAGGTCATTAAAGGTTCACTGATTTTATTCATTTTGAGGAATATTGAATATTGAATTCAAGTGAGATGAGTAAATGGATGCTCACAATTAGTCTGGAACTACAATAACCATCATGTTTACACCTCTGCACTTCGATTTGTCTCAACATGGGGACAAGAGAGCTGTCAGTCAATAAATGTTTTTTTGTTGTACATTTCAAAAGTAATGCGTTAGTTTACTATTTGGATTACTTAACTCAAGTTACTTGAAATGAGTTACCCCCAACTGCTAACTAACCTACTCTAGAACTAAATTGAAATAGGGTATTGTTTTGTATTGCTTGTACAATAAAAAAAATAAATAAAAAAGGATTATTCAAATCAATTTGATGGAATTTTACTATTAATTAAATTGCATAAACCTTAAAACAGGCTTAAAATTGTGTGTTGCTTTGGATGAAAGCATCTGACAGATGCTTTCATCCAAACCGTCAAACCTTGAGTCAAAGGGTTTGTTAACACTATAAACATTCCTGTATAGCTCAAAGCATGGTGCTAGCAATGCCAAGGTCATGGGCTCAATTCCAAGGAAATGCATGACAGATAAAATGTTTACCCTGAATGCAAGGTAATTTACTCTGATAAAAGTGTCTGCCAAATGCATAAATGTAGGCTGAATTTGACAAATGCCTTCTACATCGTTGAATTAATTTTTCACTTTTTGTAATTTGAAATGATTGTAAACATGGCACAGTCAGGCTTGTATGGTTACAGTCACCTCGGCTTTATCCCATCCATCTGGTCAGGGCTCTCCTGTGGCCACCAGGACCTCTGGCATCGCCGATATCCTGCTTTCTGAAACACCTGCTTCTGAGTTGGCACAGAAGTGTGGGATCCTGAGAGATTGGAACACAGCCATCTGTTTCTCCATGCCACCGCCGCGACCAGAAGTGCCTGTAATCTGCCTACAGAAGGAAACAAGGCTGAATAATATCCAGAAACTCACTCACACACACACACACACACACACACACAGGTTGACCTATGCTGTAGCACTACAAGGCCACCTCACACATACATATATCAACTGTAGATGTTTGTTCAAACCATCATCATGTAGAAAGTATATCCAGATGCTCATATCCAGGAGTGGAAACTTTCCCATATCCAGAGTGACTATTAAAATGAGTAAAATGAATCAATTGCTTACACAAAAAATCCTTACTTGTTGTCACACAATTTCTGAAACCTGACACTCAAACACCAGAGCCACATATCTTGATTTCCTTTTTCAAACACAACCTATTAAAATGCCACAATAATTCATCAGTGCCTCACATAACTCCTCGCATGTACAAACACTCACTGCATGCTTTACCGAACACAACCAATCATGGATTTAGAATAGGCCTATAGACCAAAGGTCAAGTTATAGGTTTTTCAGACTGTTTAATACTGTCCCAGATAGCAAACTGACATTGAATCAACGTGGAAACGACGTCTCTCATGACATTGAAACAACGTTGATTTTGCTCATCGAATTAACGTTGAACCAACGTCAGACGCGGCATTCTTCAAAGCTAAATGAAAATCGAAAATTGGTTTGCTTTCATAACGTTGAAACAACGCGTTGATTTCAAGTTGATTTTCCGTTAGTTTTGAAAGAATGACGCGTCTGACGTTGGTTCAACGTTAATTCGATGAGCAAAACAATGTCAGATCAACGTTGTTTCGATGTCATATTTCCACGTTGATTCAATGTCAGTTTGCTATCTGGGGTATTCATTCACAACCACAAATGCTTACAGGAAAAAAAAAAAAAGGTTGGTTTCAATCTTGCTGTTTGCCATGATTTTTTCATCATCTCTCTGCCAATTACTTGCTCATGATTGAAGCAATCTCATTAAAGAAGCACCTTATGTTTGAGTAAATGTGTGTAGTCTTTGTGATATATCCAAAACTATAATATTATGGCAAAGGTGTTGGCAACACAAGACAAATATTTGCTTTAGAGATGTGTTTGTAATATTTTGAGTGCTTCATTTTGCAAGAGATTTGAGGCATTTTGTGTGTGCAATTATTGGATTTGTAAGTAAAGTTTAAATTTTTTTTAAGACATTCGTTACGTTCTCTTCGACACTCCAGAAATGCCGAATTCATTGAGAGACTTCATTTCCCACAAACTCCTGCGGCCGTTACTGCTCTTCGCACATGCGCACTGTGACTCGCGGGTGCCGCTTCTTTTTGCACATGCGCAGAATACTTCCCTGTGTGCACACGCGATGCGTTTGTAAGATGGCGGTGTAAGCGCGCGGCCTGCTTCTGCATGTGCGAGATTGAGATTCCCGCGGTCATCATTCAAGCACAACCAGTCGAAACTGTGTGTGTGACGCGAACGGTTGGCGGGAAATTGTGTGAGGTATGTATACAACTTTATTAAATAGTGGTTTGTTTCACACAGATCCGTGATACGTCGTATTTATCTTTATTTAAGAGCCGGCCCGTCATTAGCACCTTTAAACCATCGTATTCAAACAAACGCATCATGTAAACAGATCAGTTCGTTGCTAGTGTAGTATAATGCGATTTGATTCCGACGTTAGTCGATTAAAATCATATTTGAGATCTTTAATATGCATCTGCCGGTAGTTGCTCAATCTGTCACGTCATTTAACGTTAAATGAAATGCCCTCCAAAGACGTAGTTAATGACTCATGTTGTTAATATCTGAGGGACTTTCAGCATTATTTAATTTGTGTAGATATTACAATGTGGTTTTGAATGTTGTCTCTTTACTAGTGAGTCAAATGTGATGTTTTGGTTGACCGAGGATTCCTTCCTGGGTCATGAACCCGAGACCTCAACTGATCTCCACCGTTGACCGAAACTAACGTTAACCCTAGACCTGTTGTGTGTTTAAGATCCGAGCATTAAACCAGGTGTCTTCTAGGTTCAGTTGATATTTTAATTTGGTCCAAGAACTCCTGCTAGTGTACGTCACAGACGTCCTTTACTTTGTAATCTTATCTGGCATTTTTCCATTTAGTTCCAGTTTTTAAGGAAATTCCTAAAATCCCAACTTTGTTTCGTTTGATTTGTCTCCAACGTGTTTTCTGACTAAACGTTTGCCATGTATTTGATTTGACAGCTGAGCTGTGATGGCCAAGAGGATTGCAGAGAAAGAGTTGACGGACAGGAACTGGGACCAGGAGGATGAAGGAGAGGAGGTGTGCCATCTTTCACTGTGAAACATCTTTACATTCCCAGTGGAAATGCAGTTATCCATAGTATCTAACAAGACACTTATCCACTAGCCTAACGTTATACCCATTCTGCCAATCCCAAAACTACTTGGTTTTAATTTTACTTGTCATTATGAGATATGTTTACTTCAGATTAAGCGGTTAAGTGCTTCAGCCAAGAATAATTGAACGTTTGAAAATAATATCTTGTGTCTTCAGGCAGGAATGTTTTCAGTTGCAACCGAAGATGTGATGAAGAATCGCTCCATCAAGAAAGCCAAGCGTCGTACCGCCGGAGCAGAGGTAACACTCCTCCCGTGTCCCGGCAGGCATACACGCATGTGTTTAGAGGCTGATTTATAGATGACTTCTGTTTTTGTGTCACAGGGAGAGAGTGGAGGGGCTTTCAAAGCTTTTAAGGGGTTCTCTCTGACATCGGCCACAGGGACAGGGTCATTCTCTGGCTTTGGTAATGGCGCTGGTTTCAAACCTATGTCCAGCCTGACCAATGGTAGCGTGGCTTCAGTGGCTCCTTCTTTTGCCAGTTTTAACGTTCCCACGTTTGCTAAAACTAACAGTGGTAAGTGTTTGTTTTTTTCATTCATGATTATATTATATTCTTATTATGATTATATTCATTCATTATTATATTATAATTTATATACTTTTAATGGGGCAGTTATATATAGTAGATACGACAGAACAAGATATGTTTTTTATATTTACTATATTGATATAGTAAACTCCCAATACACAGCAGAACAAACTGCTTATGTGTGCATAATGTCAATTCATGTCATCTCACACCAGTGTTGTGACTTAACAGACACCCGGTAGTGGTAATAAAAATACATTTAATTTTTATAGTGCTTTCCTAGACACTCAAAGACTCTTTACAGTTGTTGGTTTACATCGATAAAACAAACATACAAGGTACATTACCACATCATTTAGGCTTGCTCTGGAGTGATTCAAAAGTTGATATGATTGAGGTCGCAATATGTAACTGCAGTCTGAACGTAGCCTTAGAAACTGCAATAAACTCCATCAAGAGTCATTTCATGCAGGTCCACAATATAAAGATCTTCATAAACCGATCAAGTATACTAATGGGAATATTGAATCTTTGAGATTTCACCATGCGGACTGTCGTAACCGAATTATGATTAAGATTAACAATGTAAATATTCATCTCTCCTTAAGTCTCTAAGATCTCTCCATTGGATTCACTTGCCCCACCATTAGAAAAATAAAATGGTTGTTTTTGACCCATTTAACCTTGTATTGTAATAAACAAGGTTATGACACCAAAATGTTAGATACCAGTAAAAAAAAAATAGATTAAGTGCTTTCCAGGATCTTCAGGTATAGTTCTAACTGTAGTTTTCAGATACAGAAACTGAATAGTAGTAGTCGGAACAGTCTCGACAAGGCCAATATTTGGCATTTTTAAAATATCTCGGCCGGTATGTTTTTCTGATTGGCCGGTGTTAGAAGTGGGACTTTTATTTTGACGAGCGGCTCTGAGAACGGTAGTGCCTGAACGCACACAGCGCTCACATTCTTTGGCTTCTTTAGTCTATGCTCTCTGTTTAACAACAGTCATACCCAACACATTATTCAACAGAACTGTTAAACATAGCGTTTGCTTTTATTTTATTGTTAATACGAACTCAAACAATACTTTCTCATTTCAAGTCAACATTCAGCAAATTAGGGATGGGCATTTTTCTCAAATATTGCATTCGAATATTCACTTACCTGCAGTCGTGATGCAGCGATGGACAGCTGTCTTTCCTCATTTGGATTTCATGGGATTTCTCATTGTGGTGATGCTGTTATTAAGTCATATTCATTCGGTCATTTTCATCTAAGTAATTCCAAACTTCGAGGCCGACGACAACATTGTATGATCTAATACGATCAACCTGTTAATGCTCTCCACGACGCCACCCAGTGCATGTACTTACACGAGCTACTGCTTTGGGCTTATAGATTCATTTACGGCCAGCAAAATTCGATTAGTATTATATTTTTCAGATATTAGTTAAATACAAATGTAGATTTATTATTAATTGACTGATTTTTGATGTTGTTTGGACATACAGCACATATGCTGTGCTACTATTTGTCTTGAAGCGAGAGTCATGCGCTGACAGTACTGCTCTTTCCACCTTCATAAATAATCCAGTTGTTTGTGGCTCACTATGGATATGGTCTCAATTCATAGTCTATTTTGGGCCGCAGTATTCTCAGATCTCCACAGCTTTTGTGTTTGTGCTTTATTCAGTTGGCAATCACAGACTGTTTACTTCAACCACAAACTGGTATTTTTAGCTTTGTGGCACCAACCCAGTCTGACATGATGCCCATCAGTGATTACCTTCCTTTCATCTCATGAGTTTAAACTGTCACACAACCAATGAGATTCATTAGTGCACCACAAGTTTTGATGAGACATAATTACGTTATTAATTGCATAGTTTGTGGCTGATAGGACATGTATTTCTTAACTTAATGTTAAAACAATTAACAGTCGTCAAAAAAGATTTAAATGTCACCCGAAATGTTTTCAGGTATCTTTGAAAATTGCTATCAAAATTAAATTAAGTAAATTATAAAGAATAATAAAAGTCAGTAATTGAAACCTTGAAATTGAAACTTTCTGGTTCTGATTTGATATGTAATACATGTTGGCATTTAAAAATTGAAGTTAGCTCAGACCAGAGTAATAATGATATTTAATGTAATATGGTTTTGTTCAATTGTATTTGCACCAAAAATTAGCTTTTTCTTAAATCTGTTTTTGCACTTCTGAGATTTAATTCATATCTCGGTCAAATACTCTTTATTTAAACATTAATTTGTGGCTAGTAGGGGTGTGACGATATTCAAACCGACCCGAAAATACTCTCATGTCGTAGGGAATGTGCCCTGCCTAGCCCATTGTTGAGGTTTACTGTGTCACAAAACTAGTTTTTCTTACTTGACATATAAATAGTAATTAGGGTCTAACAGTACACGTATGTTTTGAGATTCGCAACAGATTCAATACAGCTTGTAAAGAAGAGTCTGTTCTCTGCCCGTTCCCAATACAGTCAGTTCAGGTACACAATCTGCCTTCTCTGGGGTCATGTTATGATCATCTGAGTCAACCAAGAAGCTATGAACTTATTGCGATTATTGGTACTTGTTTCGATAAGAAACGATGTCATTTTTCAATTGATGTCCATTTTTTCACGAAATTCAATGGATAAATGGCTTTTTGGCGCTATTTAATGTGGCGTGACCGATCGCTAGGCGCCTCAGTTTAAGCAGCGCAGAACTCTTCCTTATAAACGTGAATGAACATCTGAAGGTCTGTTGAAAGATACAGTACAATTTACTGAAACGTATTCGCTCAGTGTTTCTACAGTGGAAAGACATCAGTAAAACAGCGTTAAACAATATCCCACGCCGCTGTACGTTTAGTCAGCTGGACAAATGAACTCTTGATTTTGATTGTTATTATTTAAAGTCCCTGTAAAGTCAATTCTACAAAAAAGTTCTAAACACATTATAAATGTTACATATGTATGCTGTTTACAGATGCTAAAACATCTTACAAAATCTGTGAACTGTGAAGTACTGAAATGTGGAGTTAGACCGTTAAACAGTTTTTCACTATTGCAATTTTACGGATTAATTGGGCGGGGCTAAAACAGGGCTCGATGACGCACTGGAACCCATGAGCTGCTGGACACCGCCCTATTTGATGACGCACAGAGTCTGATCCCCCCCCCTCTCCACACACACTCCCCGAGCACATTCGCATTCACCGCTCAATCGCTAACGACTGTCAGTACTATTAACTGATCCTACAGTTTTCTAGCTAGCTATGCCTTCGACACGGACATTCATGGGCTACTACCTGGATGCGATCATGTACAAAACAGATCGGTATCTTCATTTAAATTCCCTTAAAAACGATCACATCAAGAAGAGGTTTTTAGAGAGCCAACCTTGATGAAGAGCTCATCACCGCCAACACCCGCCTCTGTAGTGATCATTTTACACTGGATCGTTTTATAAACTTTCCTCAGAGACAACTTGGATTCACTGATAATCCGCTGTTACTGTTGAACGGGGCCGAAACGACGATCTCCCGCCTCAGCTTTCATCCTCCCGTCTCCAAAAGCTAATCGGCTAATATCACCGTCAACAGCTTTCCCGTGAGTGGGCGTGGTTTCAGCGCAGCCTGTGGACACGCCCCCAGCGTTTGAGAGCAGAGAATCTGCTCATTTTTTCATGGTTTTGATAGCTAATTTTATGTACTTCCCGACTTTTTTTATCATTCAAATTTGGCTGGGTGGCTAATCACACATTTTTCTGTGGTGTGACAAACTCAGAACACATACTTAATTTTGACTTTACAGGGACTTTAATAGTCTTGATTATTTAATGTCTGTTTAAAATATCTGTCCTGAAAATCACAGCCAGTGTGTACATAAATTATTGCAATAATGAAATGGAGTAAAAAATAAATAAATGTAGAAGTTAGTGTAAAAACATGTTTACGTGTTTGCATAGTTTATTACTTGAGTGTTGATTATTCTATCTATAAATAAATAGCAGCTGATTTTAGGCTATTAGTTTGGGCTAGTTTATTAGCCTTTAATACTGCAAGTAAGGGATTGAGTTAAACTTCACAGCACAGAGATATCATTTTTTTATCCTTAAACTTAATTATAACTGAATTAATTCAAAGGCAGAGACACGATTTGTTCAGTAAACCACTACTTAATTAAAAAAAGCTATTTTATGTGTAGTTTTCTACCACTGCCGACGGCTATTCAGGGAAAGCAAACTTTGTCACGACATATTACACTGGAAAGTGACAGGAATGCAACCCCCCCCCCCAGTTAATATTTCTGAGAGAACCATCATTGCCCCACTACCTTTTAGCGTTCTTATATAGGCCATGACGTAACCTTGAATTGGGTCACTTGACTTGGCAACACACTCTTAAGTCAGAGAGGGAGGATGGGCGGCATCTCTTCAGAGCTCTTAGTCACCCTGCGTCTCTCTTCATCCTCAGGTCCTTTAACCTTCAACAGCTCCGTCCCCTCCAAGCCCACGGATGATGTCACCTCCAACGGCTCCGCCCCCAGCACTAAAGAGTACAACCGGCAGCTCACCGCGCTCAACTGCTCCGTGCGCGACTGGATCACCAAACACGTCAACGACAACCCCCTGTGTGACCTGAACCCCATCTTCCGGGACTACGAGCGACACCTGGCCAGCATCGAGAGGAAATACGGCAGCGGCACGTCAGACGGAGGGGCGGAGAAGCGGCTTGTGTCGAGCGGAGCGGGTTCTGCTGTTAGCGGAGCAGCACCGCAGCTCTTCTCCTTTAAAGACAAGGATGATGACAAACCGGCAGCTGCGGCGGCTCCGGGCGTCTCTTTTAATTTCGGCCAGAAGGTGGACAGCTCCGTGCTCGGTGCGCTGGCGTCCAGTGGAGCGCCTTCTTTCTCCTTCTCCACCACCACCTCCTCATCCCCAGGTGTTTCGGTGTTTGGATCTGCGGTCAGCATTGTCAGTCCTGCGGTGACTGCCAGCAAAACCCAGACTGCAGGTACGAGCAGAGCAGTGTTCACTAAAACTTTACTTTATTTCATGGCATCTTTCTGTTTCATAGGGTTTATTAGGGTCTTTTTCTTTATTTATTTGCTGTTTGACCTATAGGGAAATTGTGGAATGGTACATTTCAGTTGAAATGTGGGAGAAAATGGTTTATTCTTACTGTAGAGATTCTGCAGAAATGGACAAATTCAAGTTGTGTAAAACCGGTTTGAATTTCTTTCTTCTGCTGAACACAAAGGTTGATATTTTGAAGAATGTCAGTAATCAGACCCACGGACTTCCACAATATTTGTCTTCATACTATGGAAGTCAATGGCCACTAGGGTTGGGTATCGTTTGAATTTGAACGATTCTGATTCCGATTCCTTGTTTCGATTCCGGTTCCTAACGATTCTCGATTCCGATTCTTTTAAGAGGCAGGGTCAAAAAAGTTTAGCTAACCTTGCTAACCAACGGCCTTTCTGAAGGAAATACTCCTTCTGTAAAAATACTCCTTTTGTCACAAATTTAGCATTTTGCCGAGATTTCGTTATTTTTAGAAAAGTGAAGCCACACTTTGGATCGCCGACGTAAGCTACTCATGTTCGACTCGCGTGGTTATGCCAACACTTCCGGTAGACGCTTCTTTGTTGGTGTTGTTCAGCGGTTTCTTCTTCCGCTCGGCGGACTGTGAATATCGAAACTAGGAATCGAAATTTTAACTTTTGAACGATTCCGGGAAAAACGAAAAGTTAGTCTCGGTTCCAATCGTTACTCGATTCTCGATACCCAACCCTAATGGCCACATCAACTGTCTGGATACAGACTTTCTTCAGAATATCTTTTTGTGTTCAGCTGGATTTCCATTTTTAAGTAAACGAATCCTTTAACAGACCCGAGTAATGCATCTTTGTAATAACAGAATATCATTTATATATTCGCTGACATAAAGGGGTGAAATAATGTTGCACCCAACAACTATTTTGATAGTAGTTTATCAAATTTTAAAAATCTGGATTTTATTTTTAGTTTTGGCATAAAATTGTTTAAATAAACATTACAAAAACATGTTTTTAAAAACTAAAAATATATGCAAATTGAAGGCTGTAATAAATGTAAAAGCATGAATGTATGCTTTATTTTATTTCAAACCTTTTATACAGAACACACGATCCACGATTATAGCAGAAATGCTGATAAAAAATATGAAATCAGTAGACAGACTCATATTTAGAGTATCAGTCAGCACATTTCAGAAGAATGCAGTAATATGATTTGTAATGTGAATTTCTCTTCTGTTTTAGATGAAAATGGGGAAGAATCAGAGGAGCCGCCTGTTCCTGTGGTGAAAGAGATCAAGGAGAAAGACGCCTTCTACTCCAAAAAGTACACATCACCCCTCTCTCGATCTTTAACCGCAACACCCGTGTCTCTCGTGTACGTGATGATCAAAATGATCTCTCCACAGGTGTAAGCTGTTTTATAAGAAGGACGGAGAGTTTAAGGAGAAGGGGGTCGGGACGCTGCATCTGAAGATGGTGGCTGAGAGCAAACTTCAGCTGTTAGTGCGCGCCGACACAAACCTGGGTAAGTCATCAAGATGCTTGACGTTATCTGTAAAGAAAGGCTGATGACAGTAGTCAGGCTCTGTTAATTGTGTGATTTAAACACCTTTTTTATCAAATTAAGTATTTATATGAGAGGTTCATGGTGTGTTTGTTGGCCATTAGTGAAGATCTGGATCCCCCTGCAGGACATTTCATGAAATGCTGTCATCTAGCTTGTAGTTTAAAGGGATAGTTCACCTAAAAATGAAAATTCTGTCAGTAATTACTCACCCTCATGTCGTAATGGTATGAATTTCATATCACGATTGTAGCGACCAAAATGATCAATATCATCACGTCTTGTTAAAAAGAACTGATACGCACACTGAGAACATTTCAACAAGTTATGTTTGGAAATCAACAAACAACAAATAAAATGAATAGCACTATGCACTTTTTTTAACACATTACCGTCATCAATAGCAGTGCATTATAATAACTCATATCTCTCATCACCGTGGACGCACTCTCTCGTTTCATTAAAATGCGGTTATAAACGAGGTTAGTGGATAATTCAGCAGCAAATGTAATTAAAGTGCGTAAAACAAACATTTAAGTTGGAACAAATGAAATGTAATGTTCCACATTGCTCTTTGTATTGTTATAAAATTACAGTGATGGAAAAACAAATCATTTAAATGTAGTTTATGTATTGCGCTGCTTTTTCATGAGACAACAATTTTTGATAGATAGGACAGAACAAGAAAGACCATTAATAATCTTAATCTTTCATTGGGTGAAAGTATTATGAGAGGCTTCAATATAGAGCAGCTTATGTTGGGAATTAAGTGTTGAAGAAACATGGAGTCGTTGACGATAGTGTCTTTACATTGAAAAGTGCAGAAAACAAGAGGAAGAGAATAGATAGTGCTGATTAGTGTATCATATCTATTGTTAAGGCTTTTCATTTAACAGTTGTACGTTTCAGTTACTGTGCGCATGAACAATTCTCGACTCCAGTGTGATCAAACAGACACCCAGGTGAAAGACTCCTCATTTACTAACAGAGATAAAGAACTTTTATAAAGAACCACAGACCTCTTTCTACAAATAAAGTGTAGTAATGTGAACATTGATCCTTGTGTTACTGTGGGAACCGAACGTGACGCGCTGTTTGACTGACTGAGGAGAGATATATGAGATATCGAATGGCTTCAGAAGTCTTGAACATGTGAACAAACTTTATGCTGCTTTACAATATTGTTTTATATATATTTATTGGGGCTTAACAATAACATAATAGTTCGTACAATATCGGACGTCACTTAAAAGCGTCATCCATTATGTCTTCTCGTACACAAAAACAACGTTTCTCTGTGTCAGACTGATGCTGGACTGGATTTACCGCCAGTTTTCAAAATCACCTTATTCAAAGATGATTTTCTTGATTTCATTTTCAACAATAATACCGACTGTCTGGACATTTTGTCGTGAAAGTAATAGGTAATCGTTCCATCCCTTTTCCAAACCCGTGAGACTTGCGTTAATCTTCTGAACACAAAATATTTTTTTTTGACAGCTACACAACTACCACCCTGAAGGTTCATAAAGAGATCATAAACTTTTACATTTTTTTTTTTTTACTTTTTAAAAATTGAGTGGTTTAGTTCAACATTTCTGTAGAGACTCGTTCGCTTTATAGTAAACAGATTGAATTGAGGCTTTTACATTAGAGCCAGACCGATATTATCGGCCGATATTAGGCATTTTCCAAAATATCGGTATCGGCAGTTATAATGGCAGATAAATTAATATTTAAAAAATAAAATAAAAATGGACGAAACACGCTTCAATCATCTCTCCTTGGCCTGTTCTATTGAAAATGTATGTTTTACAATTTGCAGTGTGATGTTATCTATTGTTAAATTAGACTAGCTAACCACAAAGCTACTGTAGCTAATGCCACTATCATCAGTGGAAGACCGCTAACGTTAACATTAATGAGCTTGGAAACAACAAAAAACTTTTTCTGCCTAAATAAAGTAATGATTACTGTATTTATAACTAGCATATCTCTAGTTACAGTCAAGTTATACTTGCGAGGAGTGAACATTTAGACATAGAGAAAAAGTATCAAACGTATCTTGTGCAGAAAAGTTAGCTTTTCTTTTACACGTGTCGTGTGTGAAATCCAACAATATTTAATAAAAAAAAATATCGGCCGATATATCGGAATATCGGATTTTAAAACCTAAAAATATTTGTTTCGGTATCGGCCTTAAATCCTTTATCGGTCGGCCTCTAATTTACATGCATTAAAACATTGATTAGTTTTACCATCTCTTTATGAACTTTTTGAAGCATCAGAGTGTCAGTTGTGTCGCTGTCCATGGAGGGACAGGAAGTTCTCAGATTTCATCAGAAAGATCTTCTTATGGCTTTGGAACAACATGAGAGTAATTAATGACAGAATTTTCTTTTTTGGGTCTTATTATTTTTATTAAGACCTTATATTGACATCATCTGCAGCCCTCCTGGCTATGACTATATTGGTCAACACAGTTGTCAAGTCGCTGAAATATACCCCGATTTTGTGTTTAATAATGGGTATTGTTTATATGCACACTCACACCGTGTCATAACTACACGCGACGCCGCAACACTCGATAAAATATATCTTTTTCCATGATAATCAGAGTTTTTGTCCTAACCAGACGTGACGGCGACACGCGAAGTTTCTGTTTTAGAAACGGTTCCTATTTCTGCAATGTCGCGGCTGACAGAATGAAGAAATTACACTGGTTATGGGTACACATTATTTATTTTTAGTTAAAAATAGGTCACTGTGCCACAAGCGAAAACGGATAATTTACCGCAAATTTTGAAAGCATGTAATATAGCGTTCAAAATGAATTCTATTCAAACATACAACTGTACTTCATAACAAAATTAGTTAATGAGTATATTTTATGTTTTAGTTTTTAATGTTGTTTCTTGATTTGATTATGTCCTTACCCATTTCTAATGTGAGTGCGGGCCAGCAGTGCGCTTTCACAGAGAGACTCCGCCCACACGCTGTTCTGAATGGCTGTTATTTTTGATTGACGTGTGGCGTCTCACAGTCGCGTCTAGTGTGGACGGACACACTTGCTGTCGCTGGAATGTTATTGTGTCGTGTGTAGGGTTGGGTATCGTTTGAATTTGAACGATTCCGATTCCTTGTTTCGATTCCGGTTCCTAACGATTCTCGATTTCGATTCTTTTAAGAGGCAGGGTCAAAAAAGTTTAGCTAACCTTGCTAACCAACGGCCTTTCTGAAGGAAAAATCCTTCTGTCACAAATACTCCTTTCGTCACAAATTTTGCATTTTGCCGAGATTTCGTTATTTTTAGAAAAGTGAAGCCACACTTTGGACCGCCGACGTAAGGTACTCATGTTCGACTCGCGCGGTTATGCCAACTCTTCCGGTAGACGCTTCTTCGTTGGTGTTGTTCAGCGGTTTCTTCTTCCGCTCGGCGGACTGTGAATATCGAAACTAGGAATCGAAATTTTAACTTTTGAACGATTCCGGGAAAAACGAAAAGTTAGTCTCGGTTCCAATCGATACTCGATTCTCGATACCCAACCCTATTCGTGTGTCGTTAGGACACAGAGTAATGATTTCTAAAAGATCGTGTAACATTAGACTGCTGAAAATTCAGCTTTGCCATCAAAGTAATGAATTATTTTCAAATATCAAAAAAAGGGTCTTTGAGTTGTGCTTTAAAAAATCTGAATCCAAGCTTTTGACCAGTACTGTAACAAAAAAGTTAAAATTACACTTCTGTTTAAAAGTTTGGATTAAGATGAATTCATTTGAGTTAAGTTTTTATATTTATATTCTGATATTTCACTAATTAGTAATGTATAGGTAAAATGGCTGTTTTTATTATTTTTAACGTTCTTGAATGAAATGATGGCCCCTCTGCGGGGCTCCACCTTAGCGATTTTTAACTGTCACTCACTATTGACGGGCACGAATATAATAGACTACGTTCTTCATGCAAGAATACCAGTAAAAAAATCACTCTTGAGTGAGGCTTCCGATTGGCTGTTTGATGTGTGCTTACTGGCTCTTCTGGTGTGTTCGTAGGGAACATCTTGCTGAACATCATGGTGCCCTCCTCCATGCCCTGCTCACGAACTGGCAAAAACAACGTGATGGTGGTGTGTGTGCCAAACCCTCCCGTGGACGACAAGAACCCCAGCACACCCGTCCCGCTGCTCGTGCGCGTCAAAACGGCCGAGGACGCAGACGAACTGCACGGGATCCTGCAGGAAAAGAAAGCCTAACGCGTCACCCACCCTCATTCTCGCGCGTCTTGACTGACCCACACATCTACTCTGTCTGTCTGATCTAGAACCGTTCTTTTGCGTCCCGTTAATCGTCTAGAAGAGTGATGGAAACCGATGGGTTCTTCTACTGTGAAATCACTCGTGGTCCTACTGTAAACGCTGCTCGTCGTATCAGAGAAGGCCACACGTTATAGCAGAGACACGAGTCTGGATTCATCGTCATTCCTTCGAGTTTTAATTTAGCTGCTATTTAAGGAATCCTTCGAGGTTTAGACCGAGCCGACTGTTTTACGTGGATTTGTTTTTAATTCGGACACATTTTTCAGAAGCATGATCCTTTCTGTACAATGTTTAGAGGTCAGTATTAGATTTAAGAACAGTATATGCATCAGATCTCCAATGCTCTAATCAAAAAATAATCCCCCACAGTTCTTCAGACCCTATGACCAGATAGACCTGGTGGGTTTTTTTTTTATTTTTGTTTTTGTTTTTTATGGTTCGTTTTCTGGCAGTTCTTGCTGTGGTGGTATTTATTTTAATTGAGGGGATGTGTGGATGTGTATAAGCCACAGAACTGCTGAGGTTGAGAATGAATGATGGCTTTATGGCAATCTGTCCTGAAGTTGACCTTGAAGTTTTGTTTTTTTCTCCTGTAAGTGGCCTTTTTACTGCCTTACACAGTGGGGTGTGTGTTTAAAGTGTTGAGCAGCACTCGGATCTACCTTACATTAATTTACTGGTGAATAAATCAACTGAACCTGACAAAGTCTTGTTTCATTTACAGCAGTCATGGCAATAGAAATGGTTATATGTGTTTCCCACTTACTGACTTCGACCGAATCGAACAATTAAAGGGATGTTTCAAACCTGTCTGAGTTTCGTTCTTCTGTTGAACAAAAGATATATGGAAGGATGTTTGCAATAGGAAGGGAAATACTTGGAACGCTACAGTCTAATGTTTGATTACCAACATTCAGGGGTTGTAGTCCCACCCCCCGTCCCAAATAATAACAAAAAATGTCAAGTACAATGTATCCAAAGCGACTAACATTGCATTTCAAGGTACACATTTACATTCTTATCAGTACTTGCTTTCCCTGGGAATCGAACTCATGACCTTAGCAATGCAAGCGCCAACACTTCTTTTTACAATACAGATTGTATCAAAGCAGCTTCACGGGGATGACATGAAAATAATACAAGTTTGTTTCTAGAAGAAAATTGTGTCAATGTTAAGTAGATCAATAATATTGTTGAATATTAAAGTGGTGATGAACTGAGAAATCAAATTTTCCTTGAGCTTTTGACATCTGAAAGGTCTTCATATTATGAGAATATCCTGTATGTTTCAGAACTGAAAACGTCCTTGTTAGTCCAAGCTTTTATTGACACCAGCCTCAGCAAACGACTCGTTTTTAACCTTCAAATGGTCTTCGTTTCCTGTTTACACTTCTGGGCCTATATGACCCCAACAATTGATTAATTGTACAAAAAATATACATTTTTAATCATACAAATAATATACCTTTTTTTTTTGTTTACTTATCTATTCATGAATGCTGTGTTTTTGGAGATATAACGTACTTTTGTATCCATATACCACACAATTCCTCAACTACACCATTAGCTTGCATATGGAATATTATTTTTTTTATGATACATTGCATTGCAAGAAAATATATTTAGTTTTTTTAACATTTCCCATTCATTTCAATGTGGGGTCATATTGACCCTGAAGACCAGATAAGTAAACATTTTTTTTTTTTTTTACATACCTTCAGAACAACCGAATCAAGCCCAGTTTTTTGTGTGTGAAAAGTCACACAATCTTATTATAGACCCCATGACCCGATTGAGGGCTAATCATAGACAGTAAGGCACGATATTAACAATACTAGCAACAATAACCAAAGAAAGGATGAAGGGAAAAACGAGTACCAGGCTACTCTTCTATTCAACTTTTCTTTACAAACACAGGTTAAGTGGGGAACTATGACAACAAAGAGGATAAAACACACCCCCTCAGAAGAACATCAACGCCTACTTCAACACGGCCGGTTTAGCCCCGCCCACCGACTCGCGCATGACACGCATAGCATAGCTAAATAACATAGATGCCTACCTACCTACCTCGTGATGACAAACCGGATCGAGCTACCGAACAATAAACATGCCGTTTACCAAATATTGTGCAGTGCCTGGCTGTGGAAGAAAACAGTCTCTGCACAAGCTTCCTCTGGGTTCTAACAGGAATGCGTGGTTAAACTTTATTTTTAATGAAGTTCCTGCTGACGTGGGTAAAACATTGACCATCTGTTCGCTACATTTCACCGAGGACTGTTTTGTAAACAAGACACAGGTCGAGACTGGATTTGCAGACCGATTAAGATTAAAATACGATGCTGTGCCTTCTATATTGGATCCGACAGAAATGGTGCAACACACTTACGTGCGTAAATGAATAATAATCTGATAGGCTAGTATTGCATTGTTACAGATCGTTTGATATCTAATAATTATGATGTGTACGTGTCTAATCAGTCACAGAAGAGTCCAACTATGAAGGATGTAGCTTGTCAAACAGAACTGAATTTAACATCACAGCTGGCTTTTCCAACCTTGGCCCCGAAATTCAGAAGCGAAGGTTTGTGTTTATATCTGTACTTCATGTGAGTAGCGTCTCTCAACTTTTTTTAAACTCAAATGTGCCTATAATGGTTTGTTTTTATACAAAGAAAGTCTTTATTGGTGGCAATGCTCAGACATTTCAATGTATAATGTGACATTGTACGTTGTATTTTTTTAAAGGGGTGTTAATGGTTGATTGGTTGTATTTTTTCCTGTCATATCACATACAGGCTTGTTTTTAAGTTGAAGTTAATGTTTTTAGTACATAACATATAATATACATTTAAATTATTTTATTTATTTTCCTAGGAACACAGACAGAGGTGTCATGTAAAAGTGTAGGTGCTCCTTCAACTCCTATAAAAGGTTTTAGGCCAGCAAAAACATCTTGTCTAGAACTGGAGGAGGAGAAAAGGGTTTCTTTTGAAGACTTTGATAGTCAGGACACAACATATGAGCCAGCCGAGTCATCACAACTTCCGTAAGTGGATTTTATCTTCTTTATTCTCGTTATACGAGAAATCGCATAACTTTGTTGGAATGTAATCCGTTTTCTTCTTTCGTTTGAAGATGTACATCGATAGAGCGGGATACAAAATACATTGTATTTGAAAAGTGCCTCCTACAACTGTTTGAAACCTGCCCAGTGTGCACGAGATGCTGTGACGTTCGGCCTCGAAGACAAGGTTCTTTTGTTGCGATCGATCAACTGTGCCCACATTGTCAATACTTTAGAAAATGGCAAAGCCAACCTGTTGTCGGCAGCACACCTTTGGGCAACCTCCAGTTATCTGCTGCCATACACTTCACTGGCGCATCCTTCTTCAAATTACAAAAGGTACTTGGAAAGGAAATATTGAAATTCACTAATATAAATAAATTAACGGATTAAATACAAAATGTTTTGTGTATGACTTAGGTATTCAACGCAATGCATGTCAAGATGATTACACACACCACTTTTCGAAAGCATGCCAGCATGTATCTGGAACCTGCAATAATCTATACGTGGAAGAAAGAACAAGAGGAAGTCTTGCGCCAGCTAAGCCGGGGGGACAAAGTGATAGCGGGTGGTGATATGAGAGCGGACTCGCCAGGTTAGCTGTGCCGATTAATTAAATTTGTATATAATGTTAGTCTTTCTTTAAAAAAAAATCATATAATTTATTATGACCATATATATATATTTTAGGCCACTCAGCAAAGTATGGTGCATATACCTTAATGGACCTTGAGAGCAACATCATATTGGACATACAGCTAGTGCAGGTGAGTACCAATTCATCAATAAACTAAATTCAACTGCACTAACTACCAACACCACCCTTCCCCATAGAGAAATGAGGTAGCAGGAAGTGACCATATGGAAAAGGAGGGATTAAAACGAGGCCTTGAACATCTAGAGGCACATGGTGTGAAGCTTGAATGCATTGTTACAGATCGCCATCCACAGATCAACAATTTTCTGAGGGAAATAAACATACCGCAGTTCTACGATGTCAGGCATCTGGAGAAAGGTACCTTCTCCTCTTTATTGTAAATGTGGATGATTTCCTTTTGTTCAAGGATGACGTGATTATGTCCAGAGTACACGTGATATTGTAAATACTCATTTATTCAGGCTTGTCTAAGAAGTTGGAAAAAATCGGCAAAGATAAGGACTGTGAGGTAGTGAAAAAGTGGCAGCATAGCATCAAAAATCACGTCTACTGGACCGCAGCCACTTCAAAAACTCCTGTGGAGCGGGTAGCAAAATGGAAGTCTCTGGTAAACCATATTCAAGACATTCACGTACATGACGACCCATCATTCCCCCGGTGCGACCATGAAATCCGTCAATCGACTGATCGCAGCAAATGGTTCCAACCAGGTGACCACGTTTGTTTCAAATTGACAAAATATATCGCGTAACGTTTGTAAATGTACAGACCATTTTTACTTTCATAAGTATGTTTGTCTTTGTTACACAGTAAATGATGCGTGATTACATGCAACTAACCCTAAAACACCCTATAGTAGGAACATTGATATTACTCAGAAGTATTACACTATAACACGGACCCCTAAAATGAAAGTGTGTACCAGTAACCAATTGTAATTGTTTGTAATTTTGGTTACAGGAACCAAAGCACTATGTACTGTCGAAAAGATTCTTACAAACCAGAGAATGATGAAAGATATGGAGAAACTCAGTCCTCACCTTCAAACTTCGTCTTTGGAGTCTTTTCACCGTGTCATTTTACGTTTTGCACACAGGAATGTGGTTTATCCTTACCTTGGGATGTTGTGCAGGTGTGTTTTCCAATTCATATGACTAAAACCTCTATAATGATGTCTTTAATAACTTTGATGTTTTTATTTCAGACTTTATTTGGCAGGTATGCATTTCAACGAGAACTCAAATCGTCCTCGGGCTAAAACATCGACCAAAAAAGAAATCTACTCCATGAGGCCATTAAAATCACAGGCAACACACTGTAAGTTAAACAAATTTATCGTTGTTCACAATAAAGTAAATATAAATTTCAAATGAATAAATAACATGCGTAATGTCTATTTTTTCAAGGCTATGTCATCAATTTGATGACATTCCTTTTTGAAAAGGTAATCCGAGACCCTCTTCCCTACATGAAGGAGATCCACAAACTTAATATCCCTGAAACACTCTCTGCCCAGTATGGAAGAGGCCATCGCAAGCCATGTGTCCTTGGGGATAAAGGGGGAGGTCTAAACCCTACGTAGCTGCCTCCAGCGTCTGGAAACTCTCGGCGTATGCGCAGGACAACACAAAACGCTCTTCCTGCCCAGATAGACCCAGCACCAGCTCAAAGTTCCTGTAGCGCCTAATGTGAATTGACAAAATGAGATAAATTGCTTTATCTGCTATTATTGTGAATCTATTGTATTGATTTTGAATTAAAAACATAAAAACAATCAAACTGTTTTTGTTAAAGGGTTAGTTCACCCAAAAATGAAAATTAAGTCATTAATTACTCACCCCCATGCTGTTCCAACCCCGTAAGACCTTCGTTCATCTTCGGAACACAAATAAAGATATTTTTGATTGAATCTGAGAGCTAGATCAGTCCTACATAGACTGCCTAAGGGACTGACTCTTGACGGCCCATAAAGTCATTAAAGAAAAGGTTTAAATATTCCATGTGCCTACAGCGGCTCAATTATAAGTTTATCAAGCAACGAGACTACTTTTTGTGCGAAAAAAACATAAATAACGACTTTAT